ACAACTGAGAAACAGAGGGGAAAATTCCACCAATTTTTTAAATAAAGACTTAATAGAGTATTACACATTCTTAGTATAGTGGTAGCCATAATCCTAGGGATAAAGATGACAGACATTGCTTAAAGCTGGATTCACTGTTTTATCTCTGTGCTGTACTCCCTGAATTAGGCAGCACCTTGTATACATATAGTCCAAATAGACAGTAATTGGCAACACACAAGTCATGTATGTTGGAAAATCTTGACATGATGCCTACTCCTTTCTGGCAGATACAGCCTAGAGCAACAAATGCTTGATCTTAATTATATACTGTGTTTTGCCTTATGAGAACAAATCCTTTTCTGTGTGCTATTCTTAAACCTAGCTCCTAATTTGCTCTGTGTGCTAAAATTAATATTACATTCAGTAATTGCTAATCACAGTATCCCAGCTTTTACATCCAAGAGTTTGTGCACTTTCTGCTCTAATTGCAGATGTCTGTCAGCACTCTTCACTATTCCTGCAGTGAATTATACTGTGAATTTCTGACAGGTTCATAAATGATGAATAGCTTATGAAGTCATTCTGGGGGTAATTTTTCTGTCTAATCTTTCTCCATAATTTAACTTCAGGCAAGGTGGAGAAAATCTTAGCTTTTTCATTAGATAGGGATACACAATTCAATAGCTCCTTTAGCTTCAGTCTGGTGTTACTCTGTAGTGCAACTGCAACTATATGCCTGATTTATATGCTGAATTTTTCTATTACCATCGATGTAAATATAACATAGTAATATTTTTAATTTATGCTACTCTGGGAGCATTATATTTGGGGTATTAAGTTTGTATATGTATTAAAAGGAAGGCATAACGCATACTACCAGATACTTTCCTTCTACAGTTACTTGAGTTACTTCTATGTAACTGCTTAGTGGTGCAAACTGTTTGGTGCAGCAGAAAAGGTTGCAAGTAGATCCTGTTTTGAAGTAAAAAATGAAATTCTGACTTACACTTGATACTGCCTTCATTAGGGCCACTGTAGCCTCTACAGCCAGTACTTTGTTTTTGGTTTCAGTGGACAAATCATGAAATCATTAACAAATTTATAAATTATCCTTTTTCTCTGCTTGCTTTCAGCTTTCTGAGACATTGGTACACCTTCTGATTTGGGAAATAGGAGGCCAGGATTCCTAGCTTTTAAGTGGAACAGAGCATTACTTCCTAACACTACTTGTTTGTGAGAAATTAATTAGTTGTTATAATCATGCCAAAATGTAAATGAAGGGTCTGAGCAGAACGACAGGAAGTTAATCATAGTAGTCTGCATTCTTGCAACCTGCCAGAGTTGGAAATAATTCTGTAGCTCATCGAAAGGCTGTGAACGTCAACTTTCCAAAAGTAGAAGTGATTTGTTCTAGCCCTGGCTGCTTGTTGAATTATCAGGACAGAAACTACAGAATTGTCATTTTGGCTTTTTAAGTTAATCCAATATAATAACTGAAATGGTCAAAAACTAATGCACAGTTAGGATTTAACATAGGGTTTCTAGTTTCTTTTTCTTAACCAAATAGAAGCATATGGAAATGAAAGAGGGGGCATATTTGAAGAATGGGAACAAACTCTTAGCAATCACATTTGGGGGAATAGCAGATATGAGGAAATTACAGATAGCTATATTTACTTCCAAAGCATAACAGGAACATGGATTTATTAAGAAACCAGCTGGTTTTCTCCCTTATGAAGTAGAAGGTTATAATGCTTTACTGCTGTGGAGCAGTTGCATTTTGCAAGATGTGTTAGGATTAAAGAATGATTCCAGTGTGTTTAAAATCTCATTTAGAACTGAAGATGGCAGGAAGAGGCTTTGTCTTTGTCCTGGGTTCAGCAGTAGCAGTCATTTTTCTCCTTCTTAGTGGCTGGTGCAGCGCTGTGGTTTTGACTTTCGGCCTGGGAACAGCTCTGATAACACCGATGTTTTTAGTTACCGCTCAAATGTTTAGACTTACCAAGGACTTTGTGAGTCTCATGCTCTGCCAAGGAGGAGGGGAAGCTGGGAGGAAGCAGAGACAGGACACCTGACCCAAACTGACCAAAGAAGTATTCCATACCACGGCACATCACGCGCAGGATGTAACTGAGAGTTACCCAGAAGGGGTAGTTCACTGCAGGGTTGTTATTTCCTTTATCATTATTATTATTGGTGGTAGCAGTAGTGATTTGTGTTATACCTTAGTTACTAAACTGTTCTTATCTCAACCCGTGGGAGTTGCATTCTTTCTGATTCTCCTCCCCATCCCTCCAGGAGCGGGGGGGGGGGGAGAGGGAAACTGTGTGGCTGATTTATGGCTGACTGGGTTTAAATCACGACAGTCTTTCAACAACCAAAACGCAGTGAGCACCTTGACCTCTGATGGGTTACATCCACTGCCAAGGAAGTAGGTAGGCCTTGTCTGGGCTCCACCACAGCAAAATCTGTAGCTACTGCAGGCTCATAGCTGTCCTGGCCCACCACTGCTGCCAGGCAGCACAGCTGGCTGCAAGAACTGCATGGGAGCACACCCTCACTGCAAGGTAATAGGATTCAGTAGGAGACTTTTACAAGCTTTGCTGAACAATTTGGACAGAGGCAATAAGAATTATATTAAGATGCTTATTTAAATCAGCCCTTATTCTTGATAGTTGAGGAAGAACAGAGTAGTTCTGAACAAGCATTACAGAAGAAATCTGAATTACCACAAAATGAGTATGATGGGCTGTCTTCTGCCCTGAGATACAGCTAAAAAATACAACCTCTGTGAATGACAGAAATGTATATATGCATTCCATGTTAAGAACAGGAGATTAAACTGTTTCTAAGCATTATTAAAAGGTATGCAACTTTTCACAATATACTGAGCTTCATGACACTTCATGTGTGGTTTAGCAGAACTCTCCCAGTTCTGCACACAAAGCTTTGTATGGAGAAAACAAAACTACTGCCACTGTAAGTAGAGTTTCCATGCAGAACCTGAGATGCAACTTGTAAAATACAGAGGCTTGCTTTGAAAGTGATTCCCAACAGCTTCATTTGGGGATTAAATCTCTGTATGTATTAATAGGAATATTTTTTCTTTCTGATTAGATGTAATAATTGGACTATAGGAAGACCTCTAATGAAGAAGAGATAAAAGGGAGTGTGTGATGCTAAGTAATGATAGGTTGTTTCTGTAGTCATGGCAAGTGATACATTTAGAACGCTAACAGCTTCTTGACTAATGGCTTTGTGCAATTTATAGATTATGAATAATAAAAAACTTCCTGTAGAGGGACTTTGTACCTGGACTTGTGTGATTATAAAAGATTAGCATGAGGTCTGCTCAGGAAGAAACCTGGACAGTCAAATATGCAGCAAATGCATATTTCTGAAATGCAATTAAATCTGCAGATGTAGAAAATAATTAAGAAGTAGATATGCAAGTTGTAATTTATGGGTATTTTACAGTGGTTTAAATGCCTTTTCTCCCCATGTAAGCTTTATGTTCCTGTTATCTAAACTCAGGGGATGGTTAATACCTGCATAGACATTTATTAAGAGCAAGTATCATCTGTCAGTTATTGTTTCAATAACAGAAAAATATTTATTTAAACCCTCAAGACATCTGGCCTTCAGGCCAGAAACATGAGATTCTATGGGCTGTGGAAACATTCTGAGTTTAAAACTGACTTCTGCACAAGTTTTATATGTGGGGAGGACATCAATGCATACCAGAAACATTTATCCTGCCTACAATAATGCCTTGGCTTCAGTAATGCAAGCAGACACTCCAGAATTTTCTAACAAAATAATTTAATGATTTATTATTTCTTTTTTAATCCCTGATGGTTCAAGTCTGCTATTGCTGAAAAAGCCTTCCAGTATCTGAAGGCGGCCTACAAGGATGCTGGAGACATCACAGACTGTATCAATAGGACAAGAGGTAATGGGTTCAAACTTAAACAGGGGTTCAGGTTAGATATAAGGAAGAAGCTCTTTACTGTGAGGGTAGTGAGGCACTGGAAGAGGTTGCCCAAGGAAATGGTAAATGCTCTATCCCTGTCAGTGTTCAAGGCCAGGCTGGACAAAGACTTGACCAACATGGTGTAGTGGGAGGCATCCCTGCCCACGACAGTGGGGTTGGAACTAGATGATCTTAAGGTCCTTTCCAACCCAAACCATTCTGTGATTCTATAAGATACTGAATGCTAGAAAATAATCTTGAGGCACACGGTTAACTGCCATATCTAGCTTTACTTCCTAAGAGAAAACCTTTGCCCATTGTCGAGCTATTCAAATGATAGGGGTATCAAAGACAAAGAAATGCTGGGATGAGGAACCTTCCTCACTTGTTTACCTTTGAGCCTAAAGAAGTTAGAAACAATATTTAAAAGCCCCGGGAGGAAGAGAAGCACAGGTAAATACGGATCAGGAAGCCGCTTGTCACTCAGGTGACTCATTTTATTAAAACCTTGCTGAAAAAAAAAAGATCCTGCTCCCGATCACAGTACGATAATCCGATCGCTATCAGACAGCTTGTTAGGAGAGTCCCGAAAGCACAAAGAGGGTTTTTACTGCGAAAAGGCTGGAGCTCTCGGGAACAGACCGGGCACTTACGCTGCCGCCGTGACCCGCGGCGCTGCAGGCGAGGACCCCCCCCACCCGAGGGGGTCGAGGTTCTCCCGCCGCCCACCGGGGGCAGCCCGGGCTGGCCGCGGGTTCCCAGTCCCCAGCCGGGCTCCCAGCAGCACCCGCCCTGAGGCCCCGCGGCGCCGGCTTTCGCGCGGAGCGGAGCAGGGCCCGGCAGGGAAGAACAGCCCCGGCAGCAGCGGGGAGGCCGTGCCCTCCGCAGCCCCATGCACAGGGTACCAAACCTTCAGTCGGCGGTAGGAGGGCGGCCGAGGCCGAGCTGGGTGGGAGGGTGAGGGGTGTCACACGTGGCAGCCAAAGGGGGGACTCCTCTGTGCTGCTTCTCCCGCGGAGGGCGCCATGCCGCCCGCGGCTCCTACCTTCCAGCACCGAGCAGAACGAGTGCAGGGCCATCGTCTCCCGGCGGGGGCTACGGTGGTGACTTCGCTGCGGCGGCGATCACCGGCGCTCCATGGCCGCGGCCGGGAGCGGCGGCTGCCCCCTGCGAGGACGCTGTAGCCCACGGCTATGGCTTGGCCGGTCCCCGCCCGCCTGCGGGCATGCCCAAGCCCCCGCGAGGGTGCGTTCAGCCGCCGCGCTCAGCCCCATCTAGAGCGGGGTGTGGCTGGGCTGACCCGGAGGGTGGAGACTGGGGGCTCTCCAGGGGGCGACTTAAACGCAACTCCACGCCCGACTGAAGTCGCTGCCGGTAAATGAAGCTCACTTAAAATGTGAGGGGTATTTTCCTGGAGACACACCATACATAATGCCGTTATCTCCTTTGAGAACACACGCAGAACTAATCTCGAGGAGAAAAGACAACGTAGAAAGAATCGCCCCCCGCCTATACCACACAAGGAGACTTTTTGTTGTGCTTTTTGCAACCGGATTTGCCTATCCCACATTGGCCTTTTTAGTCATCAGCGTGCTTGTAGTAAGCGTGGGTAAATCCCTTCCCAAATCTTCGTTCGGGAAGTCAAGCCATGATGATGATCATTTACCTGGATGAGCCCCTTGAATGCATGTGTCCTCCCCCTACGGAACCCCACAAGTAGCCGCATCTGGTGGGGCTGCCGTGCTCCTTAATGCAACTTAAGGAGCTGCAACTTAAATGCATTTATGTCAATGCCTGCAGCATGGGCAACAAACAGGAATAGCTGGAAGTTATTGTGCAGCAGGGAAATCATGACATAATTGCCATCACAGAAACGTGGTGGAATGATTCATATGATTGTAGTGCTGCAATGGTTGGCTATAGGCTCTCCAGAAGGGATAGGCAAGGAAAAAGAGGTGGTGGGGTTGCATTGTATGTTAGGGAGTGCATTGACTGCCTTGAACTTGGTGCTGCTAGTGAGAAGGATGAATGTTTGTGGGCGAAGATCAGGGGGAAAGGCCAACCAAGCTGATATCCTGGTAGGAGTCTGTTATAGACCACCCAGACAGGATGAAGCTTCAGATGAAGTGTTCTTCAAACAACTGGGAGAAGTTTCATGATTGCTTGCCCTTGTTGTCGTGGGGGACTTCAACATACCAGATGTCCGTTGGAATTACAACACAGCAGAGATTAAATAATCCAGGTTCTTGGAGAGTGTGGAAGATAACTTCCTAACCCAGCTGGTGAGTGAGCCAACTAGGGGAGATACCTGGCTAGATTTGCTGTTTGCAAACAGAGAAGGGCTGGTGGGTGATGTGATGGCTGGAGGCCTTCTTCGGCAACGTTATCACTAAATGATTGAATTTTCAGTCCTTGGAGTGATGCGAAGCGTTAACCTAAGTACGGGGGGGTAGGTCAAACTGCTTGCTTAAGTGTTACAGCTTGCTCATGCTTATCGTACTTGCAATGTACAAGGGGGTAGATCAAGCCGCTTGCTTAACAATGTTACTACTTGTTCATGCTTATCGTACTTGCGGTATATGCTAGAACAAAATATAAGGACATGTCTATTTTTAAGAGGTAGGGACTGTGACTTGATTCCCGTCCTTTGGACGCCGAGGCCGGCTGAAATTGGCTCTGCACTTTGGACAATGACCAAGCCTCCAGGGAACATGCGTAATGACTAGAGGTGAAAAGTTCAGGCTTGAGGAAGACTCGTTTACTTGATCTTGAGACCCACACCCACAACCACTAGGAGGCACTGCGCAGGCGCAAAGGACTTCTTAGTTCATTATAATTCGAAGCAGGGATAGGATATGAATATGTATAGGCATGTTGTACAACCTCATGCATATGTATAACTTTAGAGGATAAATGCAAAGGGGAAACAACACTAAGGTGCTCATGCTTTTGGAGGAGCTATCCGCCACGCACCTCAGTGCTGAATAAAAAGCATACCTACTTTACAACTTTAACGAGTTGTGGAATCTATCCTCGCATCAGGAGAAGTCAGGAAGAAGGTCAGCAAAACCTCCACCTTAGACTGGACTGACTTAGGCCTGTTTAGGACACTGGTTGGCAGAATTCTTTGGGAAACTACTAAAGGACAAAGGGGTCCAGGAAGGCTGGACACTATTCAAGAATGAAATCTTTAAGGTGAAGGAGCAGGTGGTGCCTATGTGCCAAAATCAAACTGGCAGGGAAGAAAGCAGCCTGGCTGAACTGGGAGATACTGCTTGAACTCAGGAAAAAAGGAGAATGTATCACCTGTGGAAGAAGGGACAGTTACACCATGAAAAGTATAAAGATGTTCTTAGGTTACGTAGAGAGAAAGTTTAAAAGGCATAGGCACAGATGGAACTAAATCTGGCTACTGACATCAAAGATAATAAAAAGTACTTTTACAAATGTATTAGCAATAAAAGGAGAGCCAATCTGTGGAGACAGTGTTCTCACAGGAGAATGGATAATTGGTACATAAACTCTGAATAAATCCTGAAAGGTACAGCAAGGCCATGAGAGGCCCGAGGAATCCTAAACAAGCAAGATAAGAAGAAGCTGGAATTAACCGAGTTAATGAGAACTGTGGACTGTTGGCAAGCTTTTGAGGTCGAGGTCTCACACCTGTACTTAACCAATTATATGTTAGTCACTAAGGGTCTTCAAGACGTATCCAATCTTAATATGCCAAATCACTGTAAGTGCATGTAAGAAATAGTATATAAGGGATTAAGGCTTTGTAATAAATGGCTTTTGTCTGATCATATTGATCTCTGACTGGGTCCATATATTTTCTGCAGCACCAATCCTCTGATGGATACTAGGGGAATCCTAGGAACTGAGGATGAGGAAAAGGCTGAGGTATTTAATGCTGCCTTTGCCTCAGTCCTTAATAGTCACATCAGTCAACCTCAGCATACCCTGAGTTGGATGGCAGAGATAGGGAGCTGATTGAAGTCCCCATAATTCAGGAAGAAGTTGTTACAGACCACCTGCTCCATTTAGACATATATGTCTATGGGGCCAGATGGGTTCCACCCAAGAGTGCTGAAGGAGGTAGTAGAGGAGCTTGCTAATCCACTCTCCATCATCTATCAGCAGTCCTGGTCTAGTAGGCAGGTCCCAGAGGACTGGAGGTTGGCCAGTGTGACACCTTTCTACAAAAAGGGTAGGAAGGATGACCTTGGGAACTACAGGCCTGTCAGCCTGACCTCAGTGCTGGGGAAGGTCACGGAGCAGATGATCCTAAGTGAGATCGTAAAGTACGTGCAGGAAAATGGAGGGATCAGGCCCAGTCAGCATGGCTTCATGAAGGGCAGGTCCTGCTTGACCAACCTGATCTCCTATGATAAGGTGACCCACGTGGTTGATGATTGAAAGGCTGTGGACGTTGTCTATTTGGACTTTAGTAAAGCATTTGATACTGTCTCCCACAGCTTTCTCCTGGACAAATTGGCTACTCACGGTCTGGATAGGTGGATTCTTTGCTGGGTTGGAAACTGGCTGGATGGCCGAGCTCAAAGACTGGTGGCAAATGGCATCACATCTAGTTGGTTACTGGTCACTAGTGGTGTCCCTCAGCTCTCGGTGTTAGGGCCAGTGTTGCTTAATATCTTTATTGATGATCTGGATGAGGGGATTGAGTTCACCCTCAGTAAATGTGCAGACAATACCAAGTTTTCTGGGAGAGTTGATCAGCTGAAGGATAGGAAGGCTCTGCAGAGGGATCTGGACAGGCTGGGTCAATGGACTGTGGCCAGTGCTATGAGGTTCAACAAGGCAAAGTACCAGGTCCTGCATTTGGGCTACAACAACCCTGTACAATGCTCCAGGCTTGGGGAAGAGTGGCTGGAAAGCTGCTCAGTGGAAAAGGACCTGGGGGTGCTGATTAATGGATCTGAACATGATCCATCAGTGTGCCCAGGTAGCCAAGAAGGTCAACAGCATCCTGGCCTGTATCAGCACTAGCAGGGCCAGGGCAGCGATCATCCCCCTGTACTTGGCACTGGTGAGGCCACACCTCAAATACTGTGTTCAGTTCCGGGCTCCTCACTACAAGAAAGACACTGAGGTTCTGGAGTGGGTCCAGAAAAGGGCAACAAAGCTGGTGAAGGGTCTGGAGAACAAGTCTTATGAGGGAACTGGGGTTATTTAGCCTGAAGAAGGTTCTGGGGGTCCTTATCACCTTATTGCTCTCTACAGCTACTTGAAAGAAGGTTGTAGTGAGGTAGGGGTTGGTCTCTTCTCCCAAGTAACCAGTGATAGGAGAGGTAACCGTCTCAAGCTGCATCAGGGGAGGTTTAGATTGGCTGTTAGAAAAAATTTCTTCACAGAGAGGTTGATCGGGTATTGGAACAGGCTTCCCAGGAAAGTGGTGGAATCACTGTTCCTGAAAGTATTCAAAAATTGTGTAGACGAGGCCCTCAGTGACATGCTTTAGTGGTGGTCTTGGCAGTCCTGGGGTAATGGTTGGAGTTGATGATCTTAAAGGTCTTTTCCAACTTGGTTGATTCTATGATTCCTACCACCTGTCTGAGCACAGGGTGGGAGAGACACCCATCCTTGCCCTGGCCCTATGGGGAGCCAGTAGTGGCTCCACTGAGGCACTCGCTTCAGTCATGACCATAGGCCTGTCCTGGGTTTAGCAGTAGTAGTCAATTTTTTCTCCTTCTTAGTAGCTGGTGCAGTGCTGTGTTTTGACATTCAGCCTGGGAACAGAGCTGATAACACTGATGTTTACACTAACCAAGGACTTTGTGAGTCTCATGCTCTGCCAGGGAGGAGGGGAGGCCGAGAGGAAGCAGGGTCAGGACATCTGACACAAACTAGCCAAAGATGTATTCCATACCAAAGGACGTCATGCTTGGGGAGGTAACTGGGAGTTACCCGGAAGGGCACCTCTCTTCCCGGTTGGGCTTGTTTTGGCAGGTGGTATCGTATTCTCTTCCCTTGTTATTTCTCTTATCATTATTATTATTGGTGGTAGCAGTAGTCATTTGTGTTATATCTTAGTTACTGGATTGTTCTTATCTCAACCCATTGGAGTTGCATTCTTTTGATTCTTGTTTTGCACCTGTCACAGTATCACAGTATCACAGTATGTTAGAGATTGGAAGGGACCTCAAAAGATCATCTAGTCCAATCCCCCTGCCGGAGCAGGAACACCTAGAT